TGAACAGTATTCAAACTCATGGCAAGTAATTTTCACATTGTAGAAAAACCCATACACGTAAAGTTGTAATCATTAAAGTTTGCTAGCATCCCTTTTTCATTTATATAACCATTTGCTTTAGTTTATGAGTATAAACTATTTCACTTAGTTATTTCTAATATGCCAATTTTAACAATGAGTTACCCTTCATTAATTTAAACACATACATAGAAGTTTTCTTTAGAAGCAATTGTGCCTGATTTCTGATGGCAGTTGCCTCCTGGTACTTTATATAGTTTTTTTCTCTTTGTAAATATAGAGATGGGGAAGGGAGTTAAATAGTATTGCTTTTATTATTTGCTATGGATGTTATGCACATATAATTAAACTCCAATATCATATTGAAAGCCATAATCATATTGAATGTGCACTACACATGTGACTTTGCACAATACAATAATTGTGTGGCAGGGTCTTGTTTCCCTGCCACCCTTTCCTAAATAAGATTAGGTTGCATAGTTAGCCTAGCAAATCTGGACTGCATAAATCTAAACAAGTATGGTACAAGACAGCAGTAATAATTTTCTGTATCTTTTTGCTTCCATATAATGGTTATACAGATGTTGCAGTCTAAATATGTAGCTCAGGGTATAGGTGATAGTTTCATACTGTATTCTGATCATGAGATAAATGGCTAATAGTTGTAGTCAGAAATAACTAAGTTTTCATTCCACTCTGCAGAACAATTGAAACTCAGACTGAAGAATATGATTCAAGGTATTAAGAAATATTTTTATTTAAAAGGATGCATGACAAATACAAAGTATAATCTGACCTTCTGGATTCTGCAAATTAATGAAATCGGAAAGGCACAAGAGAAAACTGGATTGAGGATGTTCATTTTTTTCACTTCCCTTTAATTTATTTGTTATCCATTAATATGGTTCATCCAATCTACCTATCATGACATTCAAATCTTTGTTTAAATTTTGATTAATTTTAGTGAATGATTTGTTTAAGTTCACTTGTTGGAAAACCCCTCCTTCTAATCTCTAAATATATAGCTAGAAAACCAAAAGAGTTATAAATAGAGAGTGTTCCAGCCACAATATGTAATAGGTATTAATGCAGAAGCTTTAAGGATCTTGAGAGGATCAGATTTCTCTCACAAACAGTGATTGTGACCAATTAGATCAAAATGAAATTTTCTTCCAATTTGGAAAAAGAAACCCAGAAAGTTATTCAAATAGTCACAAGTTGGGAATAATAGTGGTTGACAGGAATGGCAATCTATAGCTGCCTTTATCTTGTCATGCTATCTGAACAGCTACAAGACAGCAGTCACAGCACCCATAGGTAAATTTCTTATCCATGATTTATGTTACACTAGGCTCAGTGCCTTGAACAAACATCCATTGGCACAGGTTAGCTGAAGACATTCCATTTAAAAAGACAACATTACTAAAAATGTGTGGTGTAGAAGTTGATAAGAATTAAATCAAAATCAACTAAATGCTCAAACTTTTCCCTGACTTGATTACAATCAAAACAATCAAAATCAACTAAATGTTCAAACTTTGCCCTGACTTGATTACACATCAAAACAATCATATTGTGCTTAGTGAGAATTGTCAAGTAGATTTATAGCTAAAGGCTCTAAATAAAATTATAGTTTACATCTTAGACTATGAAATTGATTGAGTTATTATTCCTCCCCAATCAATTTAGTTATATTGTTGAAGACTACAGTCAGGTAAGCAAATAGGTATTTTATATATATATAAAAGTACAGGTAGTCCTTGACTTAAGTCCACAATTGAGCCAAAAATTTCTGTTGTTAAGTGAAACATTTGTTAAATTTTATGACCTTTCTTGTCACAATTATTAAGTGAATTACTAAAGTTGTTAAGTTAGTAACACAGTTATTAAATGAATGTGGCTTCCCCATTGACTTTGCTTGTGAGGTTGTAAAATAGGTTCCCATGATCCCAGGACACTGTAACTGTCATAAATATGTATCTGAATTTTTATTACATCATCATGGGGATGCTGCAACAGTTATAAGTAAAAAATGGTCATATGTCTTTTTTTCAGTACTGTTGTAATTTTGAATAGTCAATAAATGAATTGTTTTAAGTCAAGGACTACCTATATGTACATTTCAAAAAATGTTGGATTCTGCATACTCTTATTTCATGTAATTTTAAAATGTGGGATGTCGACTTCATTTACCTCAGTTTTAAAAACAATAGCATATCAACTGCTTTAAGTTTGGAATGTCTTGGTTAGTTTTTGGTGAAAATTGTAGTATGTATGTTAGGGCTTAGTGTGCATTTTAAAAGTTTGCCTTGTTTCTTTTTTTTCAGGGGGAATCTGAGTAGCAGAAATCCAGTATAAATGTAATCTAAATGCTGGAGAATATTTATGTTTGAAATTTTAAATTTTATTGAATGTATTAAAATATTTGTTTTCTGAGGTTAAAATATTTGTATCTATATGACAAATAAATATATTTTAATCTGCCATAATTTGAGTCAATATTTTAAATTGATTACAAACTGGATTACCGAACCTGCTGATGTTTAGAACTATGACATACATCCATATAACCTTACCCAGGATTTTATTTCACTCAGTAAAGTATGGAAATGCAACTTTGGCATTTGCAGCCTTATATGAGACTAAAAAAAATATCTTACTATGGTACAATGACTCATGTCTGAGAGAAGAGTATAATAAGTTACTCTTTTATAATAGTATTTTATGTAGTTTATGCATGATTAAGTTAGAAGATTTCTCTTTATTCTTTCTGTTGCATATTAAACCCCTACCCTAAATCCCAAAAATGTGTTCATAATGAATTGTTACAATCTTCTTGGAAAACAGGAAGATCCGCCTGGCTAGGCAACAAGTAAATAAAGATAAGGGACATCCTCCCAAGGCAAAGCCAGCAATGAAACAAGACACCTGATGCATAGAAAGCAAAGTCACGTTGACCCTTAAGCTTATAGTTAACTTTAGCTCATCTGTAAGAAAATAAGAAGGAGTGGGGAGGGCCTCTTAAGATACAGCATGCTTTGTGCAGGGGTATAAGTATATTGTTTGAATATGGAATTTTGCTCTCCTTGCACTCAATCAAAGTGGGAAGGGTCTTGGAAGCCGTGCTTGCAACCGCTTTGTTTTTCTTCAATAAAACTTTGAAATTGTGCATCAGACTTGTCTTCGTATTGTGAGTATAAATTTATGAGGGTCTTATATCTCACATGCCATTCAGAAACTGTTTATTTAGAAATGCAAAACCCCAAATGCTACCCAGGCCCCTTGATTAGGAGCACATTGTACCTATGCTATCAACTTCCCCTCCAAATGGAAGATGCCCCAAATAATTAGTGCTGCTGGTGCCAAGATTTGCCTCATGTCTCCTGTTCCCTTTTCTTTCCAGGGCAGGGCATTAGAAGCAGTTTCGTTTTAGGTAACTTAACAGATCAGGCCAGTTCTGGTTGGAACAATCAGTATTGTTGGTACCCATGTACAATGCCGTAAAGGGCTTTGTAGGTCAAACCAGCACTTTACATTATACCTGGAAAATAACTGATTATCAATGCAAGATCCATAGCACAGATAAAATAGATGATAAAATAACTCAAAAATTAAAGAGCCAGCCAGTGTGACTACAATGGGCTATCCTCTGCTCAAAATCATTTAGAAGTATGCTGAGAACAAATATTTTACAGGCCATTCTACTCAGATTGGGCAATCTGTTTTTATTTTTGAGTTATTTTATGTCTGAGTTGTCATTTTATAGCTTTTTAGTTGTTTTTTTCTTTATATGAGATTTGCTTGTAGTGGCATACAAAGATAATAATACCACACAATTTGTATTTCAATATGACCAAGGGTAAAGTGAGGCATTTTGTGCCTCAGTATTACAAAATGAAGAGGTAGGGGCTTGAATAGCCCATCCTTGTAGTTAAATTCATGTGATTTTACTAAATTGATGAATATTACAATCTATTCCCAGAAGAATACGATACAACTATGATTTTTACTTTATCATGAAACATGGTATTTTAGGGTTGTTGGATTTTTTACTTTTAATCCATCCAATTACTAACTAAAGAGGGCCTGGCCTGATCCAGTATCAAAATTTATATCATGACTTGCTAACATAAAGAATGCAATGTTTAGACAAAAATGATTAACTGCACTCAAAACAAGAGGTAAATCTGCTCCAGGCTGTTTTCCAATCTTCAGAATTTAGGCTGCCGCTTCTGTGTATAACAAAAAAAGGAAGATCAACCACTTTTTTGGTTTCTTGATGTTATATATAATAAATCACCTACCATATGTGGTGATGACTAATTCATTAGGGCTTCAAAAAAAATTTGTTATCATCTAGTTGTGTAATTTGTTTTTTTTTTTGCCCACATCTGGTAGCCTTACATTCTTTCAGATTAAATCTAAACCGCTTTTTATATTCACATTTGGATTGATTTTTAGACTTTTAGTTTTACTCTATTGTCATAGCACCTTACCTGATGAAATTCTGGAAAGTTAAAAGCTTATGACATTTTGGCTGGTCTTGATAGTATTTGCTCAACTATGGATTATAAACAAAAGTGCAAGGGGTGGCACGGGAGAGATGTACTATATTGTCCCCCGTGATCCCGCCCACATCTTTGGTTCTTTATGTATTTATTTTTAATCAGTGGAAATATGGACATCCAGACCTAGTATTTTTCAAGTTGCCTAAACAGAAATTTAAGTGACCTCTTAAGCAGGCATGCACATGTAAATACAAAAACTATTATTACGCAAGAAAATAAATAAAACAACATCCAATTAGTCAGCTTTCAAATGAATGCAGGCACCGTTGTATCTCATTCACCGTGACATCACTGTTTGCATCGTGGGCGAGTCCATCCGTTCTTATTTGTTACGGCGCTGGTAGAGGCAGCATCTAGACACGCCCCACGCTGGGAGCACACCTCCTTCCCGCCAGTCACGAGCGAATAAAAAAGAAAGAAAGCGCGAGTTCGGAAAGCGGATCAGGAGAAGGCTCGGCCACAGTCAAGCGGGAAGGCATCGCGGTCTGGAGCGACAGGCCCTAACAATAGCGTGTGGACGGGAACAATTGCGAAGGGCTTGGTCCTGCGCCGTGGAGTTCTTGTCGACTCTTGGAAATTGTGAGCAAAAAAAAAGAAGTGTAAGGAAGACTGCAAATGCTATTCTAGGTGAAAGCCGCCTTTTCCTGCACTGGGGTAAACGATCCTTTCTTGGCTAATTTTTCCTCCTGTGAAGCCTAATTTTTTCTCTTGTAAAAACCTAACGATGTTTTGTACCAACTCTAGTTAGTGTCTCCCATTCGTTTGGCCTTCACCTGGTTGATGCTCCTGTCCTCATCTAGCAGATCGCGTCCCTCTGCCCTCCCCCCACTTTCTCTCTCCCTCAGCGACTGAGACAAGGAGAGATTCACCCTCTTCAGCCTCTCCCGCCCTCTGAACCTGAACTGTCGCTGTCTCTGTTTCTCCTTCCTCAAAAAAATCTTCCTGTTCAGTACTGTAAGTTTAGAAGAGGGGTGGATTCTGTTGCTGCTCTTAAATTACTTCTATGATCCAAATTATACTAAGAGGGATAGCATAAAATACCTTTTCTTTGTATCCTATGCAATTCTTAACAGTGTGAAAGTAAACTAAAACCACCCAAAGTTTATATTTTAGTTTACTGTTTTTCAATCTCAGCAGTTTTTAAAGACTGCTTAAGCTTCCAAAATTCCCCTGTCCCCAAACCCCAAAAACTTTAACCTTAGACTGTCTACTATTGACCTCACCCCTTTCCTAAGAGGTCTCTAGGGGGCGTGCATAAGCGCACCAACGTGCCTACCGTCCCTGTCCTATTGTTTCTTTTATTTTTCTTTTATTTTTCTTATATGTACCCATTTCATGTATTCATAACTATGTACACACTTATACTTATCTTGTAAACAATTGACAAATCAAATAATAAATAAATAAATAAATAAATGCTGCTTCAGAGCATTGTAGTTTGAATTTAAAAGGTTTGCTTTGCTTTGCTTTGCCTTTTTGCTGTCTTACAATAACTACATTTATTACGCAAACACAATGTGTAGCTATGGTTGCTTTCATTTTATTTCTGCCACTCTGGCATATGCTGTTGGCATAGTCTCTAATCTATAGAGTAGTGAATGGTATTATTCTGTTAAATGAAAAAAATCATCAAAGTTTAAAGCAAAAGAAGTGTGTAATTACATTTTTCATTGCCATAAACTACATAAACCTGTTTGCCAAGAGGCACCAGCTCCTACATAAAGTCAAATTTATGTTACAATATTGTATTTTTAAAAATATTTGCCTTCAGTTAAAAACAGTTGTTGTTTTGTTTTCTTACGGCAATAGTCAACAACGTTGCAAAGTATGGCTGGGTAGAAATCTTATAAGTACAAATCAATTTTATTTATATAGTTTAAGCTATAGTCCTAGCTTTAAAACTATTTTAGCAACTTTGAAGTTATAACAGCACTGAAAAAGGTAACTTATAACAGGTAATTATGAATATTGCAGCATAACTAGAATTTGGACACTGGCAACCAATATGTACTTATGACAATTGCAGCAAACTGGGGTCCTGGGATTATCATTTGTGATCTTCCCCAGATGGTTTCTGATAAGCAAAATCAATGGGACAAGCAGGATTTGCTTAATGACCAGGTGATTCACTTAACAACTACAGTGATTCACTGAATAATTACGCAAAAAAGTTTGTGAAATTGAATTGTTAACAACTGCCTTGCTTAGCAACAGAAATATTAGTCCCAACTGAGGTAATATGTCAAAACTATCTAGTAAATGGATATTTTTCCTTACATTATTTGTATTTCTCATATTTTGATTTCGTTTCTCCAGATTTTTGTTGAGTATCTCCCATCCTTAGGATGTTTGCAAAAGCAACCAAGACTTTTGTGAAAGAGGTTGACTGTGGAGGAGACTTAATATCTGTGTCATCCCTGAATATCTTAGATAAAATAGAGTTCCTGAATTTAGTCACAAAGAAAAAGAAAACCTGGTGCTGGCAAAATCCAAAGTATCATCTCTCATCAGTGTCATTGAATGATCTGCTTGCCCAAGATATGCATGGACCTATAAAGCCAGGTAGAGTCACAGTTTATACACTGTTATAGGAGATAAGAAGTGCAAAGTCCTGTGCATTATTGTACAAATCTGCTTTATTACTGTTGAACTTTGAAATAGTTATCTTTTTTTTTCAAAAAGTTAGATACAGAAATATTATTTTACATGTCATTTTGTTTCTTGGGTGATTTTCTGGAATTTTGTTTTTGTTTTTGCAAGCTTTTCTAGAAGTTTTTAAAATCCATTTTCAATCAAATAGTTCAGATTGATCTATTAAGTAATAATTTAAATTGTGAAACTCTACAGTGTCATTGATTGGTGAAAATAATGCAGTTTAAAAGTTACATCATTTTATGGGATATGTGCTATTAAATGACTTGCTTGCAGTACATAACAGGATCAGTTACGGAAAAATAAGTGCTAAAGTCTGATTATTCAGTGGATGCCTCTATGTACTCAGGAAGCATTTTGATCATTCTGAATAGCAGTAATTAGTGATAACATTTTTCTAACTTTGCTAAATTAATACCTGTGACAATTTAGGAAATCATTGCTTTTAATCAGATGAAAATAGATGATCTCAGATTTAAATTAAATTCAGGAATAATATCCTGAAAAGCTATTTAGTAGTTTAGTTTAAAAAACTGCTATAATTAATACAATCAAAAACAAATAATTTTTCTTAAAGAAAATTACTTTTACTTGCTATTTCAGGATAGCAAATTTGTGGATTGCAATTCAAGATCATTGAGGAACTTCATTATATTTTGTTTTTAAAGATGTCATAGATTTTTTGCTTTAAATTGATACTTTATTCTTTTACTGAAGTGGAGTTAACACTCCATCTTGCTCTGACTACTGTTAACAGCATTTTATTGATTGAGTTCTCGTGCCCTGCTAAATCACAACATGATTTTTTTTAGATTTGTTCTGGCTCTCTGAGAACTCAGTCTTATGGTTTGCGAACTATGTTTTTTAAATTGCGGGAATGTATAAAATATTGAATTTTTATTTTTCTCCTATAATATATTAGCTATTTCATGCAGGTCATCCTTAACTTACAACTGTTCTTTTAGAGTCCGTTTGAAGTTACAGTGGCACTGAAAAAGTAAAAAAGTTGCAGAATCCCCATGGTCATGTAATCAAAATTTGGATGCTTGGCAACTGGTTCATATTTAAGACAATTGCAGTGTTCTGAGGTCATGTCATCTCCTTTTGTGACCTTCTGTCAAGCATAGTAAATGAGGAATCCTGATTCACTTAACAGGCGTGTTACTAACAGCTGCAGTGATTCACTTAATTACATACGATTCGCTGAAAGTGAGGGGATTTTTTAAAAAGTATTTTATTTTAGTTATACTTTGTTTTTATTGTTTTTAAGCTGCCTAGAGCCGCTGTGAGCAAGTAGGTAGCTATATACATTTTTGAAATAAATAAACTGTAGCAAGAAAGGTTATAAAATGGGCTAAAATTTACTTAGCAACTATCCTGTTTAACAACAGAATTTTGATTTCAATTGTGATCATAAGTCAAGAACTATCTATAGTCTACAAATCATCTCCCATTGCCATTCTAGAAAATGGTGGATCATTTCTGCAATGATTAGTTAGATATATTCCAGGAAAAAAACTCAGAACACCAGAATCTTTAAAAAAATTTCTATATACTTGTCTTTCTGCTCTGGTAAACAAACAATGCAGCTAATAAAATTTAAAAATAAAAAAGGACATGGAAAGTTAAAATATGTGCATATATGCACCATTAATTTGCCAATAAGGATGGCTTAGTGTTAACGCCTTTGACATGATGCTTCGAGACATGAATATATGGTATATGTCCTTGAGTAGCCACCAGTTTCTCTGCCCTGACTGACTTTTTATAGTAAAAACATAGGAAACTGGAATTACACCAAACAAATGTCACTCATTAGCATCAACTTAGTTTCCCTATTTTTTGTTGTTGTTTAAAGTTGTAGAATAAAATGAATATGAAAGTAATTTCTTAGAATTAAGAATTAACTTGATAGTATCGAATTACATATTACCCCAACCCAAATGTCAGATCCTAAGAAATTTAGAAATGTCTGTTCTATGCCAGTCTTTCAAATATATGATTTGTCCCATTTCTTTTTAAAATTTTCATTGGCTAAAAGTTATTATTTCAGTGTGCTTTTGGGCGTGGTGGACTTTAATATCCAGCAAAATTTGTATCTAGTTGTTTTATTTCCTTTATCCTTAGTTTCGTGCTTCATTCACTGTATTGTCCAGAGTCCATCATAACTAGGGGTGGACTATGGGATGTTATAAATAGATAGATTGATTAGGTAAAAATAGGCAGACAGGCAAACCATGGCAACACTTTGATTTTGTGACTATTTTGTTTTCACAGTAGATAGAGAAATACATTCTGGTGGAATTCAAAGAACTGTTACTTAGAATGACTGCTATTTTTCTTCAAATGTCACATATGCATGCATACATTTCTAAGACCCCAAATCCTTTCAAATTAGTGAAGGTTTATAGTATACAGCTCCATATATTCTAAGGATGGGGAACTTGTGACACCCAAGCAGCATTGGTAAACTGCCAGTAGATTCTACAAACAAGATCCCTGGTTCAAAGAAGCGGCATTTATTTTAATATCATGTGAAGGACCATGGATTCTCCATCTTTCCTTTTTTTTCATTGGATTATAAACTTTTTTAAATACAGGGAGCAGTGAAAAACAGTGACTAAGTCAGTGACTAAATCAGTGTTTGTTTTTTTAAAAAATAATTTATGTTGAGCTCCAGTTGTAATTTGGATATGTTGCTTTTTTCCTAGTTATTGTAGAATCTGACTTTGTGAAGTATGAAAGCAAGTTTGAAGACTGCATCAGAGGAAGCGTTGATACTTCAGTAGGAAGAATTAATTTAGGAAGCGGAGGAAGCAATGTTGTGGAAGGTCTGTCCTCTTTTGGAAATCTTAAAAAGCAAGAAGTTGACTTGCGCAAACTTATGAAAGATGTGAAGAAAAGGTACATATTTATTTTATTCATTTATGATATCTATAAATAGTTTTATTATACAAAGTTTTAAAGGGAAATGTTCAGCTTTAAAAAATGGCATCTTTGTGAGGTTTAAAAAGAATTGTTTTGAAAAGTTTTACAGATACTTGGAATTGAATAAATAAGAAAGCAGTAAAAAGTGGTGATGATGAAAATTGTGGTTTCTGGAATTAATATAAGTTTACTAGAAAGTTTAGAAATGCTGTTGATGACCAGATTTAGTTTGTATTACTGCTAAGGTAGTTGGATAAAGTCATGTTCATAATTATTCTCAATTACTAATCTTATTTTGCCTCAGTCATTCAGTTTCAGCCCAAGCTACCTCATAGGCTTGTGTTGTAGGATAATTAGAATGTTCTCATATATGCACATTGGCCTCTCAAGAATGAATATAAATGCAATGATACTCATATCTGTTTTGAAATAGATATGTCGGGGAGAATATGGAGCATTTGAATATGAACATTTGGGAAGATACTGAAAAATCTGGTGTTAGTTTGTAATTGAATCATAAATTCAATACTATCACTGTGACAGTATATTTTTTATATAGGAAACCTATATCCAAATGCAGTGATACAACACAGTTTTATATATTTCTGATTGGCATACTAGCTCTTTGCTACTAAAGAGTGAATTATTTATCAATTTGTTATAGGAAAACAATATTGTCCAGCTATTTAAAAAAGGGTTTTTTTCATAGTAATTTTAATATATTTTTTCTCCTTTAGATCAATAAATCTACAGGCTTCATTATTGGAACAAATGCTTGAAAGAAAGAGTGATGTTCTTTGTATCCTTACAGAAAAAATATTGACAACTCAGAAATGTTTAATATCTGAACATATTCAAAAAGAGGAAAAAATTGCTGGAATGGTGGGGATAAATGCAAAAATTATAAAGGTATTAATGCATAAGGAAGAATAGTGATGGAATGCTCTACTTCATTTTTCCATATTATCCCCCAGCAAGATGTATATAGCCTTTGTGCCCTTTGAATTCTGCTTCTGGAAAGGTTGCAATTTCATCCCTGTCTACTCCAGTCTTGCATTGCTGACCACATCCCTGTGGCTTTTTTTTTTTTTTTAAGAAAACAAGTGCATTTATTTGTCCCCAGGCACAAATAAACTTGTTTGCATTAAGCTGAACTATTAATGTTTCTGTTCAAAAATGAATGTGCTATGCAGTTTGAAAACTGTTTGCTGTTAAATCTATTTACTATTAAATGTTAGAATGAATAAAAAATATGTACAATTTTTATAAGGTAAGAATATTCAGATCAAAGAGTTAACCCTTAATACATCCTCACTACAGTTTTGAACTTAAATGAAAGTGCTGGATGAAACTAAAGATAATTGAATCCTTTGCTCCAATTCTGTCAGCAGGAGAGAAGCTCACAAGAAGTTAATTATAGAGATGCTCACCCCAGCTGATGTATTTTCTTTGAGGATAGAAGATTCATTTGTGTTAAGGAGAATTCCTTGTAATGGACCTGTCTTCTGTGAATTAAAAACCTACCTTAAGGCAAACTTAAGAAAACACATTTGAGAGCTGTTTAGTTTTAAAACAATTTCTAAAATATTTAGTTATGTAGAGCTTGGCACTCTCTGAGCTTGATGGTTTGCTTGCTGATGTTTCCTAATCAATTATGTAACATTATCAGTACCTACATCTACATCTGCAAGCAAACCAAGCTAAGAGAACACCAAGGACTCCAATATCAAGATACATATACAGTATTATTTATTTATGCACAATTTTCTGTTTAACTCTGTCTAACAAGTAAGTCTTGATGCCATACCTCTCCACACACCTTGTCACTGTCCGTCCCCCACCCCCACTGCCACCTATTTTATCCTTTCAGCCATCCTAGTAAGGATTTGGGCTGAGAGATGTTAGCTTAAATTTATCAGCTCTGGGCATTTTCTGTTTAATTCTTTGACTTTAACTCACTTAAAAATAATTGACATCATTTTTAAATTCTACAAAATGACTTCTTGTCATCCTTTCATGTGTAAATTATGCATTTTGGAATTAATTTGCACAAATTAACCAACAATTAAATCTCTCTCTAGGTATCAGTGAATGAAAATGGAAATATAATTAAGAACTCTAATGTAGTATTGGAGATCCCTGCTTCAACTGCAATTGCTTATGGTATAATAGAATTGTATGTAAAGCGTGATGGTCAATTTGGTAAGTAATGTGGCCATTCTCACTTTCTTTTTCCTCAGGGCAGCATAAAAAGAACATTCTTTTTATTAGACCTAGATCATCAGCAGAGGTTCTTGTCCCAACATTGTATTTTGAATTCAGTTTTATACATACCATATATCAGTACATAATTGGTGCTCATTTAAAGGGAAGGCTTACAGATGTTTTGAATTAATATTACAGTTAGAAACTGAGTATAATACATGAGAAGATGTAGGTGCAGGTTAAACCGAGGTGTTTTATTTAGTTGCAAATTACGAATTCTACTATAGATGGAAAAAGAGAAGGCTTGTTTATGTGATCAACTTCTAACAATGGAACTTAAGAATTTTGACAATAGTATATACTGTTATTTGCTTGTCTATCTGTCTTTCTGTCTATCTATTTATCATCTATCTATCATCTATCATATAGCATACAATGTCAGGGAAATCTACACGTGCTAGATGCACAAGGCATGTCCTGACGGTCTAGATTGCTAGTTCATTCTATTCGATGCTTACTTGTCTATCCTTAGTGCACTGCGGGGGTGTGTGTGTGTGTGAACTACCTTATACCAGTTGACTAGCAGCACTTGGGTTGCTGGCTTTTCTGGGGTCTTCTGCCAGTCTTACCTCACCTCTTGTCACAATGCATTGCACCTGATCAGCTCCAGTGCTGGCTTCCACTCTCTGCACACACAAACACACCTAGGTTTTTCTCACTGGAGTGGTGCCCATATATGTAATTGCAATATTGCATGCTTTCAAACTGTTAGATGGATATCAGCTAGGGATCTAGTGATGGGAGCTCACTCCATGTCACAGAGCCAGGCTCAAACCACCAAAATGCAGACCATTTCTAGCTGGCAGTTCCAGCATTATTAAGGCAGTGCGCCACTGCATCCTCTTTTAGTATATACTCTTATCTTAGCATATGAAATGTCCAAAATATGTATATCACATGATAGTACTGAGAATAGGCAATACTGTTAAAAAAATTAAGTGAAGGTATACATATTAAAGTGCCCAAAGTTATGCCCGCACCATATTTGAAGGTAAGGATGATTGCACATTATTTTTTTCCCTCCTTTACAGTGCTATTTTTTTATTTCTGTTTGCTGGATTTTAATATTGGGCCATCTTATCTTTGAAACCTTACAAATCAACGTCTCTGCTCTGCAGGACCAACCCTACCTTAGGCGGAATAAGACAGGCATTTCAGGTTAAGGAGGAGTTTATGAATAATATCTCTGGACTATCAGCATTTGTTCACAAGACCCTCGGCCATTCTTTTACTTGTAGAATAAATTTCTGTGTGTCTCGTAGTTGGTTTTGCATTTCCTAAACTAGTCTGCAGCTTCCAGGTGGAATCAAGGACGCTCTTTTTTCCAATGGAATGAGGCTGCTTTTTATCTTTTGGGACATACAGCAAATACCTTGAAAATTCTTGCTATGGTTTCTACTGCATGAAATGATACCCTGTTCTATTCTGTATTGGAAGGATGTTTTCATCAGTGGAGATTTTAGACATTTTCATCCATTTCTTCAGTGAACATCCAAATAATTGTACCTAAAATAGCTGGCTTACAATGTGCTAAGCGTTCTATTGAGATTCAGTAAAGTTAGGAGACAGCATTTTTTCCAAATTAATTTTTATATAACTGGAATAAAAACGAACACAAACTAAAAATAAGAATAGAAAAAGAAAAAAGTATAAAAAGTAGCTTCTCCTTTCATTACAACAATTCTTGCAATGTATTATATCTCCTAGGGTACATACAACCATTGGGTGTAACTAATGATTACAGCCAGCCCAAATTCAAGACCCAAGTGACAAATGACAGGGTGAGCTACCATTTTACTCACCCCAGCTCTTGCCAACCTGAGCAGTTCAAAAAAATGCAAATGTGAGTAGATAAATAGTACTGCTTCAGTGGTAAAGGTTACTGCATTCCATATTTTCATACTGGCCACATGATGACAGAAGCATCTCTCAGACAACCCAGCTCTCCCTTTGCTGAGAATCTGATATAAGTACTGCTCCTTGTGTCAGTTATGACAGGGGAAACCTTTAAATCCTTTAGAGTACAACATATACTTTCTTCATATCTCTTAAGTAAAAATAAAATCCAAAAGTCTCATCATTCCTTATCAGCAAAAATCCGGTTACCATATTTCTAGTGCTCTCTGAGTTTGCTTGTTTTCTTGCAAATGTTTCATTACCCTAACTTACCTACTTAGGGTAATGAAACATTTGCAAGAAAACAAGTAACCTCAGAGAGCATCAAGGACTGCTCGTTTCAACCTTGAGCAACAAATATTCTGTATTGGTATCCTATTTCTCTTTTGATTTATTAGTTGTGCATTTCTTTTAAGTAATGAAACATTAACTGGTTTTGTTTGTATATTCAATAACTACTTTTCAGCATTCTTCTCATGGCTTATCACAATTATATCCACACTCGAATTCAGGTCAACCTTATCTAAATAGCTTGGGTGTTTTTTTTGCAACTTCCTTGATGCTGCACTTATCTATCATATTAGAAAATTTTGAAGATCATTAAAAAAAAACCCCACTTAAAAACTCACTGTTAAGAGTGTTGTGCTTCATTCTTTGTTTAATTATATAAGTTACTATACTGTAATAAGATTTTTTTTTTCTTATTCAGTTGTTGATTTTCTAGCTGGATGTCATGGAAGATCCTAATCTGATAACACCTTATGGGCCCCATTCCCCTACCAATCCTTTTAGTCTTCTCCCCCACCTTACCCTGTGCTGCTACTGCTCCTATTGGTTGTCTTTTGGGCCCTCCAAATGTAGGACGGAACTCTCTCAGTCTCACATCCAACTCCACAACCGTTTTATACCATTCCCCAGTTTCTGGGAAACCCCACTATAAAGACAAGCCTGCCTCAATCTTCTATCTAAACCAGATCTAAATTCTCTAATCAATAATATTTTTTCCTGGCCAGGTGTGCAACCTAGTTGCCAATTTCTGAAACTCTCTGACATACTCCACAGCAGGCCTCTCATCCTGCTTCAGTGACATTAATGCTTCTTCATATTGATGTATCCTTGACCTATCTTCAAATTGAACTTTGAGTGCATCCAAAAACAAACCAACATCAATCAATTCCTTTGCATGCACACTATGCAACTGTGCAGCCCAATCGGCAGCATCACCTGTTAACACTGTAGTTATCGCAACTATAATAGACCATTGAGAAGGATAGCAATTTGAATATAATTCTAGGTGGTTCACAGTTTGGCTTAAAAATAATGCTAACCTATCAGGGTTCCCATCAAAGGAAGTGTTTATAGGAGGAGGACCTCCCCAAACCCTCCTTTGGGGCCAATATCCAGACGTGCCTGATGGACCCCAGGAGTGAATTGTTTGTCTATTCCCCATCTGCGCATCCCTAAATTCAACCCTGGAACCTGGGACTGGTTTAGAGGTTTTACTCCCAAGTTCCTGATACTCCTACTACATCTTCTAATGATTCATCTACTTCCATAGAAAATGCTCCCTCCGACCTCCTACTCGTATCCCTGCTATCTCTGGCACTTGAACTAAAGAAAGATGTGTCTTCCGTTCTAAATCTCCTCCCTGGACTGTCCCAAACGGTCTTTGGAGTAGAGTCACGAATGCTTAAGTCACCATACTTGACACGGAGCAGTTCCAACGTGCTAGCGTTTAAACTGGTTGTAGAAGTACTACGCTCATCTTTGTCAGCAATCCGTCGTTCCCTCCACTTCTCAAACGTCCCAGAGGGCAGTGGCATAAAAATGGGAGGTTTCCCTTGTGAAACCTTCCCCCTCATATCGTCCCTCAACTCTGATCCCAATTTCTGTTCCTTCCGGATTTTCAGCCGTACCACAGGCTGAGGATCCTCTTCACATCTCGCGTTATCTGTTTGTCCACTCTCCAAAGACACCACATTATCGTCCAACTGAATTGAGGGCTTCTCAGGCACCACGCCAGTCCCTCCAACAGCATTATTTGCATCCACCTCCGAAACATTCTTAAAACCTCCATCAACAGCAGTACCTTCAGCCATAATATCACAAGTAACAAAATATTATAGGATGTATGAGATCCAACTTTCCTCTCAATTACTCTTCAGCACAAATGCAGGGAGAAAATAAGACTTTGCTTCAGTATTTGGTAACACAAAAGCTTATTGCTTATTCCTTCCTCTGCAAGGAGTCCAAGATAATAGCTAAGCAAACAAAATAAAGTTGGATCTAACCCGAGTTTCCTGGGATTCAATATTTATAATAATTTCCCTTCATTACCCCCGATTACCCTTATTACCCATGATTACCATTATTAATGATAATTATTTGTAAGAACTCAATCACATGAATCGTGGTTAATGCGTAGAGCTTCACCTCACAGCATTTTACATAGACCGCACGTATTATTATGATACAGAGTTTATTCTGATGAAGAGGAATGCCATCCTTTAGGTCACTGTGGCTTCGATTCAAATGCGTGTATTGCGTAGTCACGACAACTAATTTCCCAAATGTATGGTGGACTTTTCCTTATTGTAAACTCTAGACTACCAGTGAAAACAGCCTGGTGCTAATCACAGAGAACTTCCTTATTTTTCTTATTAAATATGTGATTTCTGATTTATTAGGCCCATCTGGATAAACATTTTATGAATGGGCAAGATTCTAATACAAAATTGTTTAATACTAATCAGAACACTAAGACATAGTTTATTTGCTTTTCTTCATGTTATGGGATGGAATGGGAGCTGTAAATCAAATGTTACCAGAAAATAAGACAGTCAAACTATTCCTTTTGTAGAATTGTGCCTCCTTCATGACCAACAAGGTGGTTTTGAAAGGGGGGCTATAGAAGGCCCAGCTTACCATTCTTCAGCCTTCAAAGATGCTTGCTGCCCTCATCTTTTTGATGTTGTGGATAATGAGAAATTGTCTGGACTTGAAAGACCTATTCCAAGTGATGCTTCACTTAACATTCTAAGCAAAGGTAGGACTGGAAAATCATTCACATTTCGTGTTCATTATGCTAACTTAAAGTAAAATTATTTTCAGTTTAATGTGTGGATTTGAGAATCCCAGAAACATGGTTCTAGAATTGGGTGCATGTGTATAAAAACAATTCTTGATATGATTATTGCATCATAAATAGTTGGGGTTAATTCCTCCCAAAATGTACAGTAGTTGTAAACACTAAGAGTTACAATATTTACAAGTTGTGGAAATTTTCTACTTTTTAAACAACATTCTGAGTTTCCTTTTCTTACTTCCCATGCTATCTTTATTACCCACCTTTCCATGAATTTACATCTCTTTAAGTGCTTGAACTGATAGATAGTAAAAATACCAATAGTCTAACTTTCAATTGCTGATCTTCATACTTGCCCAGGCTGATCAATGGCATAATATTATTTTATCTCCCTTTTAAAATTTAATTTTAAAACAAATTATGTGTGGAGTTGACAATATAGACCATAAAAAACTAACACAGTAATATATTGATAACATATACTTATGATAATATATTTACCTATGAATGAACATTGTTCTGCAGAACCAAAGAAAGCTAATTTTATATGTAACAATAGTGGCGAAGGAAGGAAGGAAGAAAGATTGTTCATTTAGATGAATAGGAAAAAGTAGTAATTCCTACCATGTTAGAAAACTAATTTGTTCAGTTAAAGGGCTCAGGCCAAGTCAAACTTCCTAGCCTTTATCTCTCTCTGTCTGCCTGTCTATCTATCTACCTAGTTTAATAATAATGTTTGCATAATAATGTTTGCAACTGCAAACTGGATGTGCAGTTTTTTAATTAATTGCTTTAGGACAGACAAGTAGTGCTTAACTTATAATTGGGATCACAAACTTGTTCATTGAGTGAAGTGGCCATTAAGTGAGATGTCACATGACATGTCAACAACCCCCACTCAGCACAATCCCATACTCCTTATTATAATTATTAAGTGGATGTAATCCAAGGCTAGGGAGTGCAGGCATGCCTCAGGAGGGTGGGGAAGATAATAATGAAACTGTATCATACACTAAACTATAGTCTGTTAACAATGATTTACTAACTAAACCAATATTGATTGGGTTTGCGTCCTATGTTGGTCAAACAAGCCATTTTACATCTTTGCATGAAGCAGGAATTTAGCACGTGGCAACTTTCAAACTATTAAAAAATTGTATTTCTTTTGAATTCTGATTTTCTCTGTTAATACTATGTATACATAAGTTTCCTCTTTGATAAAATCATAGGATGGATTTTTGAAATTTGAGTCAGGATCAAAATGGTCAGTTTTGTAAAAAAAAATCCCTCCATAAAAAGGCAAATGCATTATACTTCCAACACACATGCTTACACAAACACAGACACACACACATACACACACACACATATTTTTAAATGAAATTAATGTATGTTACATTCAGAATTGTTAGGATTAGCTTCTCCAACTTGATTCTTCTTAATGATTAAATATGCTTGCATAATACATTTTCAGATGTCCTCCAATTAAAGACCCAGTTCCAACCTTTTATAAATCTATCAGAAGAAAAGCAAAGAGCTTTATATCAGATGATCTGTGACCTTTTGCTTCATGAAGAAACAGTGATGCAACTAGAAAATGTGGTAATTTTTATTTCCCAATCATACATCAATTTTCTTCTTATTTTTTAAAGCTTGTTCTTAATGAAGAAAGGAATCTAGTTTTGATCGCTCCAATAACCTGTATGTTTTTAATTATATATTTATAATTATTTTAATGATTGTTACCATCAAATCAGTGTTATTTTGGTGATTAATAGATGGATAGTTTCTAGGATGATCTATCTTTAATCTGATCCAGTATTCCTATTAGACCTGAATGTACCCATCTTACTGTTAGTCATTCTGTTTTTTTCTTTTTTCCGCACTTCCTAGCTTTATACAGTTAATGTTTAAAAGAGTTAAGTTTTCACATTATATGAAATCAGTGGAATTTTTATTGGTCTTGACTGATTTGAGATCATAATTTTCTGGATCACAGCAAGTAGCCTCACCTATCCAACCATGGATCTCAGAACAAGATAAGCAGAGTTGCTTAACATTGCTTTACATTTGGATAGGAAACTCAATAATTTCCAAGGCTTCAGGATACATTGAGAAAGGTTTTTTTTAATGCAGTGGAAAACCATTTCCATATTGTTGTAAAAGAAATACAATAGATATGTCGAGGCAATTGGAAGTCAAACTTGGTCTGATTAATTTTATTCTGAGTATAATTAAATCTGACCACTGTGTCTGTTTCCTTTTTGCAGCTGGTCAGTTTATGTTCTGAGAGGAGTCCAGGCATCATATCAATGGAGGAATTACAGTTACCAGAGAAACCATGTTTAGAAGAATTTCTACAGCTTGTGGGTGTACATTTACAGAGCAAATGTCAGATTTACAATAAAGAGCTTTTCCTAGCTGCTCATTTCCTTCTCAGTGCTCTAGCAGGTACAAAAAATAAATAAAAGAGTGGTTTTCTTCTAAAATTGATTTTTATTCAGAGCAGAGTAGTTTTAACTTATGGCTGGTTGGTTCGTTTAAAGTTTGAGGAACTTACCTGAGGGATAGTTAAAATCCAGATTCAAAATTCTTACAGTTGACACACCAGTTGTGTGACTGCAGTTCAGGTATCAATGACTAACTGATATTGATGGATTTAGCAGCATCCTGCATTCACTTGATCATGTTTTATTACTGTAATGTTGAAAATTGATATTTATTCTCAGTTTTCAGCAAAGTTAGCTGAACCACAGGTTTGCTTGACAACTGCGGCATTTTCTTATAAACTATCACAAACTAATAAAATTAGATCAGTCACACTTTCTTGCTTTTTAGCCATCATGAGTTATGTCTTTATGGTCATAACTCAAGAACTACCTTTATTCTTTATCAATGATGCTATCCATCCACCTAATAAAGATGTAAAATTTTATTTTTGAGATACAATTATTATTTTTACTATTCTGTTCATATATTTTTAGTATATGCTGAAGTTGTCTCAGTCTTTTCATTTCTAATTGAATCATATCTTACGATGTGCTTGGAGATGCAAGTTTGAAGTAGCCAGACTTCACTTCTCAAAGCTTTTAAATGCAAGAATGTCTGAACAGTAGTAATTTAAAGTAATTCAATTTTGAGGTACATCAGACTACAGGAATGTTCTTTTCAGCATGGCAATATAGATTCTCAAGACATTCTCTTTTAGGAACCACATAAATTATTATGTTTTGGCAGATTTTAGATTCTGTGTAGACTTGGAGAACATACTGCCTTACTTTCTTGAGTTTATTCAGTAAGGTTTCAGAGGCCCATGACTCAGTGTTCAGAAGGTATGATTCCTTTATATTTTTAAAAGTTTTTGTTTGCCTTTTATTTTCTTTCTTCAGAACTGTCAAGTTATTCCTTAATGCTGCTGCTAGCCTGCTGTGACCTCCAGCTTGTCCCTACCCTGTGTTTCTTGGTAAGTCATGTCAATTTAAGTTGGAAATGTGTTAACAATAGCATAAGTTCTAGCAGCTGGTTCTTAATGGTATTTATTCATTGCAACATTTCTTACAGCCTTTATGGAATATATCTTCCATTCAGCTTAAGGAATTAGCTACCACTAAATGGAAATTGTATCATATTTTTCAGACTATAAAATGCACCTAGCTTTTGGGGAGGAAGACAAGAAAAAAAATTCTGCCTCTGTGATGACTCAGGGCATGGCACAAAGGCAGCACAGCCAGATAATAAGTAGGAATCCCTTTATTAGCTCCAAACTTTGCCCCCAAAGACCTAGTTACTTTCTGGTCTAGAGAAAAACTCCCCGGAACAGCCTTTGGCTGCAGAGATTCAAGTCCAAAACTTTGTCAACAGAAAACTTTTAACTATAAGTCCAATCAAGGCAAGATAAGGTAATTAATCCGGCAAGGCAAGGTAAGTTCCAGAAGGGAAATAGCACAGCAGTAAATCAACCCTGTTGGGTGGATGCCAGAAACGCAGATAACTGTGGTCAACACAAGATAAACTTGTTCCCAGCAAATGCAGTTCTCAACTGTCTCTCTTTAAACTCTCTTCCCAGGTGTGCTTAGTGAGGGAAATCAGGTGCTGTCATCAGCAATCTTTTTTAAAGTATTAGAAATTTATTTTAATAAGTATAGCTCAATTTTCATAATTTATTTTAATTCATCATAAATACTCATCAAAATGATTATAAAATGGAAAAAATTCAGTATCCTGCCTATTCCTCAGCACTGCAGAAGTGATAGTTTGATAGAATTACCCCGATTTGAAGTGCTGTGTAATGTTTCAAAGTGCTACACAGATAGAATGGCTTTTCTATTGCTTCTGGGATGCTACAGATAAATAATATTGTGCTGAGATATGAAGTACAATGGTATTATGGTGGTCTCTCTGTCAATGACCTAAGTAGCCAATTGGATAACATAATGACCTCTGTGTCTACAAGAGTTCTTTTGGAGATCCAAGCCTAGCATTGTTCTCATCCGTTTCTCTCTTTTTTAAATAATGCTGCACAGGATCTTAACTTTGATCTGCCTTATGTTAATGAAGTGTGCTATCCTACCTATCCAATTATAAGGGTAACACAGCTTTTAGTCAAAACTGATACTTAAAATTGATATAATTGTGACAGACTTTGACTCCTCAGTGATGATTAAAGTGATGCCCGGCTCGCTAAAACATTTACTATTTTTAAGAACTGGGTTTATAAATCCTTTTTCTCTATAGCATACTATTTTGTGGCATTGGGTCTCATTGTATGAGATAGCAATTACCATGCAGAATTCCCAGATCGATCAGAGTGAATTGTAACACTGATAAAGTGGTCCTACTTGGAAGAAACCAAGCTTGTCAACTAATAGTAGCAATTTTCCTGGCACCACAGAGAACTTGGCAATCAGATGCAGCAAACATTATCACAAAGATAGATCTGTGATCATTTCCCAATGTCATTACCATATCAAGCCTAGATGCTCACAGAAAGCAAGACAAAAAAAAAAATAAGTACTTGCTTTTTTAGCTGTTTATGAATATTTTAAAAATCCTGGACATTTTTAGCATTCAATGCTTTACTAGAGATACTAACTGAGATACCAGGCTTTTTGCTAGACAGTTTGGAGACTGATAAATTGTTCCTTCCTCTATTTCAAAAGCCATTATGATGAAACCCTTAGAGATACCTAGCTGAACCTTGGCAGGATTGTTTTCTAGGAGTTCTACATTCCATTTCCTATCATGCTGCCAAAAATGTATCAGTTATAGGCATTTAGATAACCTAGGGGGATTTTCCCACAAAGCAGGTTCATTTGAATCGATTCTCAAATCATGCCTCTTCAGATCTCAAATCTGAACAGAATCAGGATTTGTGCTGATTTGTCCAGCCCTCAAAGATGGAAATGCACACCTATGTAACAATAGATATATATTATGCTGTTCCTTTTCACAATAAATTGGATTATATAGTGTACTGAAAAAGAACGTGAAATGAAACACCCTATTACATTTAAAGCCTGAGATAAAGGACAAAAAGTTAAATTCATTGGCAGTTGTGAGATCATTAGCAGTACTTTATATTTGCCCAAACTATCTTGAAAGGTTGCTAGGAATAGTAGTTTATGAAGTGCTTGTGAGAAAAGTGTCTGCACAGATGCTGTCACTATTGAAGAGGCTGTTGCACAGCATTTGGTTGGAATAGCAGATGAATATTTCATTTATATCCAGCATTTCTTCCAATCAACTATCCTTTTGATTTTGACAAAAGCTTTTAGATAATTAGCAAAGTTGCCCAGAGAATTGGGATTTGGATTTGGGCTTCCAATCTAATGTAGCATACTCTGACCATTACATCGCATCGATCCTCTAACTTGTTGCCTTATTAAGAATGTGCTAAAACTACTGTTCCCGAATCTCTGAAGATTAATTTCTGGAAAACTATTAGGCAGCTTCCAATGGCCAAATTGATGTAATTTGAAATAAAATTTCAGTGTTTTCCAGATGTCCCATTCCCAGATTAGTTATCTTTAAATATAAAACATTTGCCTTATTTAAAAATTGACTGTTGTGGAAATGCTTTTAATCAATGCCTTTCTGTCTCTGATCAGCCTAATATGACCTTAGAAGATGGTACAGTGACACTTGCAGATCCTGTACTGGCTCCACTTGCTGACCCAGGAAAGTTTCAGATAGCACAGAAGCTATTCGCTTTATCAAACATTAACCTTGAAATGACGGAATCTTCTATCAAAGCTGTAACCATGAAAAAAAACATTTTTTCCCCAATCGTTCTATATATAGCGTTGAATGGCCTCCATGCATTAGGTTATGAAAAGACAAGAACTGATGAAGCTGTTTGAAGAGTTTAATACTACAAGTGTCTCTGTTTAATGCCTCATAGTGATGAACCGCTAAAGATGTCCATGCAGTTGGAATATCTGGACTGTGTTATTGGAGCAAGGCAAATTCTGAAATTAATTATATGAATGAAAAAATGCAAAGATAAAAAAACCCATGTAGGGATACTTGGTGAGATGTTTGACACTCCTGTATTATTTTAAAGTTAAGAAAGATTACATGTCCTCACTTTTCAGCCATTTATTCAGCACCCGTTCAAAGTTACAACAACGCAGAAAAAAGTAATTTTATGGCCCATTTACTGCCACTCACAACCTTCACAGCATCCATCAGCCATATGAATGCCATTACAGTCAGTATGTACTGTCTTGGACCAGACCTGTGGGATTTTTTTTTTTCTTTCCCTTGTAGAGAGATCTGAGAGAGATTTCAACAAAGCAAGCAGTTTGCTGTTCTACATATCATAATCATGCTAGCAGCAAAGAAGGCTCAGGCAAAGGAGAGATTGCCTACATAAATTGCTTGGTTTTTTTTTTCTTTCCCCTACCCCCACCTGAGTGGAGGGTTTGGAAAGAAAGGGGTTTCAAGAGAATGGCTAGTCTAGTCCTAGATTGTGACAGTTGCATTATTTTTATGAAAACAAGACAGCAAGGTCCACTTAGCAATGGCTTTATTTAGCATTAGAGTTGCCAGTGTCAGAGCTGTGAAAAATTTCTTGTATTAGTGATTGTGCTTCCGTACTAATCTTATTTTCCTTAAAAACTAGAGCAGTGGTCCCAACCTTTTGGGCACCAGGGACCTGTTCTATGGAGAGAGGTTTTTCTGTGAACCGGAGGGAAGTGGTTTTGCATGCTGCCTGCATCGTGCATCCTGGTTTCTGGCATGCTGTGGCCTGGTACTGGTCTACAGACCGGGGGGGGGGGGGTACCCCTGAATTAGAGTATATTCTAATTGAACACCATTATGTGGCAACAGACAGTTTTCAAAACTGAGAAAAGAGCATCATGAAACAGGAGAATAATTGAAAGGGCCATTTAAGCAATCAATTAAAAAATTAAGCAATACAGGAATAAATTTAAAGCATGTTCTCAATTGTTGGGCTTGCCTTTGGAGCAGTTATTTAGATTAGAACCAAATATCACAAAGAATGTGGCAAGTTTCTAAGTGTTTCTTTATGGTATGGCAGAAAAGCTGGGAACTACAGCATCCATTTTGGGAGTCATATTTTTAACCTTTCTAGCTATAAAGGCATTTTTATTTACCTACTTGATTAATGTGACGTGTACCAAAACTGCAGGCCTCAAAGCTGCCTCTTTTGGACAGATGTTTTTGGAGGGGGGGGAGAAATATGTTAAGGAGAAAAATGTAATTTTTAGCTTCTCAGATATTGACCATGGTATATAAAACCCATTCAATTCCATCCACATCTGTTAGCAAAGCCATAGGGACTCAAACCAATGGAAGTTAACAGATTTTGGATATTATATTCACAGCACTTATTAAATGCTATTATAAGGTATATTTGGAATGATAGTTTTTCAGTGTTTTAATTAGGCATATACAGTGCAAAAATATGATTTGTTATAACATCTATTGCAAGGAAGGCCTACTGTATTGCCTTTTTCCAGTTTCTTTTTCTGATGTCTGCTCTGTGCAGTGAGAATGTAATTCATAAGAGTTCATACTATTTTTTTCAAATATTTTTATTTCATATATGCAAAAATAACTTTCTTAGGAGTTTTCAGGATTTCAGTTTTATACATTTCAACAATGATATACAACCTAAATTGGGAACCATTAGTGAAATTTCTTTAAAAACCTTCTTTAACTGAATAGCACACAATTTTCTTATGAAATTTTATAAGTTTTCTTATAATCCTTTTTCAGAACTTTCTAATCCAATTTATGTGACAATTTTCTTCTGATTGACAGCATGGAAAGACATTAAAATTTCATATCAGTGAACTCCCATTTAAATCTTTTATTGTGTCAATATTGTGTGTCAATATTAGTGTACAAGTTTGAAAAAAGTTACAATTGTTTAATAGAAATATTAAGAGATGAAGCAATAAAAATTATACTGCATAAGCTAAGAGAAGTCATTATTTTGGAATGTATCTAATGATGATTTCTATTATCTAATCTTAAAAACACAAAATAATCCCCAAATAATAATTCACAAAAAATGTAGATCTTGATATAGTACACATTCAAAGTGGTATGCATCCAAGATATATTATTTTAATACAGTTTCCAAATTAAAACATTTTTCTCTAGCTAACATTGCATTTTAAAACATAACTACCATATATGCACTTGAACATTTAATCAGATCTTACCCTCAATATTGGAAGGGCACGACTAACATCAATTGTTGTGAGACTGGACATGATTCTCAGCTATCATATTTGATCAGTAGACAATAGACAACTCTTTGAAGCAAGACACTTCAAAGAAATTCAATTCTGTCAAGAAAGCCCACATAAGGCAAGGACGTTCAAAGAAAGAAGATAAACAAGTGATCTATACTTTTAAAATACAGGTATTCCTCAATTTACCACAATTGAAAATGGGATTACCATTGTTAGTGATGCTGGATTTTAAGTACATCTTCACTAGTCCTTGCCCAGTTTTATGATCTTTTTTTGCAATGGTTGTTAAGTAAACTCATTGTCCATATATGGGTGCTTTTTTCTGGAAGCCAGAAGTAAACAGCAGTTCCCAGCAAAAAATGTAAATTGCTGTCACATGACTTCAGGACACTGCAAATGCATACTTATGGAACAATTGTTGAGTATCCAAAGTGTGACTGTCTGAGTATCCATCATGTGACTGTCTGGGGGATGGTCACCAGAACTTCACATCCAGGTAATGTCCTTTTTATGGGGGGGGGGGGGGGGGGGGGGGATTGTAACTTTCAACAATTGCTAAGAAACTGGTCATAAGTTGAGGACTACCTATACCATGTAATGAAATAGACATGTAAGACGCATTAGGAATCTCATCGTGTGTTTTTTTTCCATAGATATTGCCATTTTAATATTGTAAATAAAGGATTATCCAATACATACTTCCAGTCATGTTTAACTTTAATTGGAAAACTAATCCAAAGCAATTTACATCATAAACAAAAATATTTCAATATGACATGATGAAAGCTTTTGAGATAGTTTAAGGGTTGCTTTGTTTCCTCTGAAAATTTCCAAGATTTGTTATGCCAACTGAACCAAGACAAAACAAAGCAAAATAATAATAATGTGCGGTTGATGTAGACTATTTGATTCTGAGCAAATAAAAAATTACTCAAGAACTAAAATTAAATGAATTTCAAACAAATATTTAAAAAAACTTCCCTTTACATTTTTATTCCAAACGTGCATACCTAACTGTAATCCATTTTATCAGTATCAAATACAGATTTGAATAAGACAGTTTGCATTCCAAATTCTGCATCTTTCTCAAAAACAGCAGATGCTGCTGATTCCACAAATTGCTAAAACAATACCTCATCATTTTTATGAACCCCATGCTTGAGGCCTTATTATTACTGACAGGATTTATCAGATCTTGTGTAGATATCTTAGGAGTTAAATTATTGCTGTTATTTTTGAGTATTTTCTTTTTCAAAATCTCTTAACCACAAAAAAAAAACACACCTCAAATATTTTGTACATAATTATTTTAAACTCGCTGCTTATCTGTGACACTAATAGGTTGAATAGAGTTTTTCCTGAAGCACCAACATGAATTGTCATTTAAAACAGCTGTCTTTAATCTTGCCGGTTTTGCAGACCATCAGGGAGGGGATGATTCCTCAGAAGTGGCAGGTGTCCTCTTGCGCAAGTGGCGGACACATGTGCTTGTCACTCACAAATGGAACTATGCACACATGCTAGCCAGTCTGCTGTGCATACAAATGGCACTGAACACACTCATGTTATTTCCCTCCTCTTCTGCGTCTCAGTTCTTAATGGGCCATGGCCCGGTAGTGGACTGTGGCCCAAGGGTTGGGGGCCCCTGATTTTAGAAATTAAAATTAGGTTTGATTTAGGTCTGACTCAGCATGATTCATATATTCTGCATTTTATTATAAATTTAAGATAAATGAAAAGCTTAAATAAACGTAACAATTATATGTTCCATGAACTTTATAGTCCCCATGAATTCAGTATGACCTACTGTAGCTTAGGAAAGTGGTAAAACATTTCTTGTATATTCTGGATTTATTATCCATGGGAATTTGCAATATGTAAGTTCAGATCATTGACAGGAACTCTGCAGTTTCAGACAAAAATACCAAAAACTGAAATTAGGACACTTAAAACGTTCTGCCTCTGATTTACACCTTGCGAATTAATCCATTCTGCACCTCATTTACTAAACTTAAGCATGGTACTGTCTTTGGAAGTATTTTGCCTGTTACATACTTCTCATTGCTGCCATACGTTTCCATTGCTGCCATTCAGCGAGAGGATAAATTCATGGGTCTCTGTATTCGAAGTTTTAATTTCTTCATAGCTAGGATTATACCGATGCAGCAAAAACAGTGAATGGTCCATAACTATGTGCAGTGATATGCTGTCTCTAAGCATAGAGATGTACTTTATATCAAATGTAGTAATTCTTATGCAGAGCAGTGAACTAACTTTTCCTGTTACATTCAGGGCCTTTGGTTTAAATTCCCACACTAATGCCAAGAGTGAATTCTGTGACATGAGCAGTTCCCCTAAGAAGATACAGGAGTACCAGCATAAAAAGTCTTGCCCAGACAAAATATAAAATGTTTCTTGACCAATTCCCTACTGTTAACAATTTCTTTAGAAAGCCATTAAGGCAAATACTGATATTCTGTTTTTCTTCTTGCTTTTGACAGAACTGAGCTTCTGAGTGTTAAAACCAAATTCCTTTAATCACTTGCTAAACTTTCTTTGAACTAAGGCCAATTTGAAAAATCTTCTGCTTTCCAATAGGAGTGGATAAATCAATGGCTAGAAACAAGACAGTAGAGTGAATATTCTGCTTAAGAACATTTTATTTTTTTAAGATAGTTCAGGTAGAATCTGAACAACACTTTACTCAAGGCTACTTAAAATGCAGCCCAAACTCTCATCTAAGTAAAGAGCAGTAGCAACAAACCAATTGGAATGTATCTAATGTAATATTAGAAAACAAAGGAATGAGGTTATTTGATTTGAGGATTCAGTAATGTCTTCCAATCTCCTCCATTCAAACATTATATTCAATAAATGTATAGTCATTTTTACATTTTATCTCACTTTATAACCCTACAATGACATTGAAATTACAGAGTAAAATGTCATTTTGGGTACTGGCAATTTTTTTCCAGACTCAGTTGTACATATTTTTTAAATACTTAACATCAGCCTATCTACAGAATTAATGCAACAGAAATAAATTTCTCCACAATATTTCATATTGTTCAAAGCTAATTTCTAAATACTAATAGCAATTAAGACACAGATATGCAATTATTTGCATAACATTTACAAAATATACTTAAGTCTTTAAAAAAATACCACAAAGGGTTTTTTTTATACAATAACTTTTTGGTGTCAACATTTCTCTATATAAACTAAAAACTATTGAAACCCTGTTTCCTTGTGCATCTGAAAAACCAAAATAATTAGAAGGTAAGTTTGGACCGTCTTGGTCTTTTCCAATATTTTTCATTGTTTGCATCTTGTGTATGATACTTTGGTATTGAAAATAAGCTCTGTAATCCTAGTGTCCAAACTCATATGCAAAATAAATGAAATGGGGAGATAACCACCTCAGGCCCTCTGTATGTTAGCAATGGATGGATCTATTTATAATAGCAGGCATAATATAAAACATGATCATCAGATTATTCCCTCTTAGTAATCATCCATATTTACATCTCCTCAATAGAATATTATCAGAAATGTATTTATGCAATCAGTAAATATGAACCTAAGATAATGAACAAACTAAGGGAAGAGTTATTAGCTAACACTGTAAAACATGAGTGTGAAACAAAAATAAATTCTTTGATAAATAACACTGAATTTTAGCATCTAACAATAATTTTAGTTTCACACTCTATTTGATGAATAAAGCCATGTAACACAAAGGATCAGCTCAAAGCCCCATCACATCACATTTTATAACACACAAAATCACTCATAAATACTCTAGTATAAACTAAAAACCAGTCGTCATAGAACAATATACAAATACAGAGCGAGGTCATAATAAAAAAAGCATACTTTGTTCCTCTAAGCTATGAGTTTTCCACAACTAAGAACATACATTCTACATGCTGAGCTCTTCACTAAGACTCTGTAGCATGAGGTTCTTTCAGGCTACTTCACCATTACCTCAAACACAATGAATTTACATTACGAGAATTCTTTGAAAAATACTTACTGAACGGGTTGAAATGTTGGCTTTTTAAAAGGGACTCTTAGAGAAAGTTCAAGATATTGCTTTTACATTTATGTAAAAAGGGAATCTACTAAAAGTCTACAGTACATCTGTCTAAGACAAAACAGCTGTAAAACATGGATAAACATTAAGCAAATATGCTTCAATAACATGGCTCAGTGCTGGTTGCTTTATTAAAAATTCTGCTTATGTTAAGGAGATATGCTAATTAGGACAAGGATTATAACTAAATAATAAAAATTAATCAGATGAAACATTTGATTTAAAACAAAGTTTTACAAAAACCCTTTCAAGTATTTTTCTCCTTATCACAGTGAAAATGTAAGATCAAATGTATAAATGAATGACTGGGAAGTTCTTTAGATGAATAAAGGCAAAGTAGTAAATCAAAACATTTATAAAAATGCTTCAACGCATTTCCTTCATGTGATATGAATAAAAAGGTTATTTGTAAAAAGTTAGAAAAATTAAAATAAATTACATATTAAGTACACTTTCCCGTCAACATTTTGTATAAAAATTTGACTAGCATAATATTAATATACACAAAATAAAAACATATCGGGTCCTGCCAAGTATCTGGCACCACTGTACAATACTTTCTTAGTATAGTGTTTCGACTAACATAACGTGATGTTTGTTTCATCTTTAAAAGAACTGTCAGTATACCCAGCTAATCGGGACCCACTGTGATTCCATCCTCAATTTCTCTGTAGCAGTTTGCAACTTCTCAAAAGCTTTGTCTAGGTTGTCATTCACAATAATCAGATCAAAGTAGTGACTATAAGCTCTCTGGATCCGTGCACTCTCATCAACAGTTTTCTTCAAATCAGTATCCTATTAAAATATTGACAAAAAAAATAAAAATAAAACAATACTATAAAAAGCAAGCAACTAGGGTCAGGTTTAAAACTGAGAGCCTGCATTAAAAAAATCTTTTAGAGATCAGCAAGACCAGTTTTCTAGAAAAAAGTATTTAAAATGAATTCCTAAAAATATATTGGTACAGGAATCTATGAGAGTGCAAACAGCTATTTAGTTATAATAGATGTTCTTAATTACGTTACAGTCTAGTTCTTGGGATTCTTATATGTATAACTCTTTAAACATGTACATAATATGTATACTTTGACATCTTACTTTAGAAATAAATATTTCAATATTTATTACAATCCTGCATTTCAAAAAAAAAGTTATAACAAAAATAACAAAAGAGCTACATTTCGTGTTATATCAAACTGTATGAACCACATTAGCCACATTCTTAAATGACCATTCTTGTCAATGAACATTTTCCTGGGCCATTTTAATATGCAGATATTTATTTATAAAGCTGTAGCAGCTGAAGACTAAGGTGCCTTAATGACCACCTTCTGTGACACTAACTTATCCAGCTATTTTGCCTGATAGTTTACTCATGAAATTATTTTTCGCTTTCTTTCAGTAGAGCTTCATATACCTATTAGGCTAACAAGTGTGTAAATACTTAGGAATATTTAATTATATTTAGAATTATATTTGATATTTGAAATTATCCTTATTAGCTTTCTACCAATCCTGCTGACTTCCATATTCTAACACAGTCTGAATCCAAACTGTTATTTTAATACATACTATTCTGGCAATTTTAAATGAATAAATATAGTATCGTATATTTAAATGCAGAATGTCATAAACAATAGATTAACACATGTTTACAGTAACTAGAAATGAGCCCCACTTTTCAATTAAAAAACTAGATTAGGAATGTTACTTGAATTAAAATAACTTCTTGCTCCATAATACATTTTAAAAATGTATTGGGAGACATCAATACATTCTTTGCCTCACACCAACAAACTACTAGTCTGGAACAGATGAAGTAGTTATAATAGAATGAAATAAAAATCTGCAACAATCAACACCTAGAAAGTTTAATAAAAGTCCAAGAACTACAAATGGCCAAGCAGAAAGAGGGGAAGGAATCTGAAGATGGCCTGTAGTATATTAAGTGTAGCTTTAATTATGCTGATAAAACAAACTACTCACATATTTTTTTTAAAAAAATGATAATTTTCCTTACTGTTAGAAGCTTGGTTGTAATTCCTGCATCAACTACAGCTTTGTGCATTGCACGCAGGGTTTCAAGTTCTGGAGCAGCAATAAAAACTACATAGGGCATAAACTCTGATGTCCGCAACACTTTAAGTGCCTGGAAAAAAAGAATTAAGTTATGCATTCAATTTTTTGGAAAATAGGCAGTATCAGTATAAGCAGCTTTAACATTATTCAGATTTTCATTATAGCACAGGGAATAATATGCATTTTCCCCTATTTAATAGACAACATGCTTCAATCCTTTCAGTCAAACAATGCCATCTATTAGGACACAGGAAGGGTGCTTTTTCTGCCATTGCATTCAGCCTCTTAAATTACATGCCCCAAGAGATCCATGTGACTGCTGCCCTGATGATGTTCTGGAAGTCATTACAAACACAGCAGTTCTCCCAGGATATTAGTGGTAGATTTAGTAAAAGTGATGAGATACAGAATTTGGTTGTCAAGGTGTGTCAGAAATTTTTTCTGTAGTGTTTTCTTAAACTGTAAACTGCTCAAAATTACAGTCAAGCGACTTCTAAATCTACATTTCAATTCAGTTTTATGCTTCTCAAAATGATTAGGACCTAATGATAGGGAGAATTTTCTCTAGTTATACTTCTGTAATCTAACAATATAATGTGTATTTATCAGGTTACAATTACCATATTCTAGTTAAATTTCAAGTACTACACACATTTCAGTAGTGAAAATAGCATTAGGGTTATTATATAGGGTTAAA